CACCATTTTGAACATTTCTCGAAATGGACGACGCTCGTGCGAGCGATAGCACATTTAACGCATATCGCAGACTGCTTCCATCGCCCGATGAGAGGCACCACTGGTAGCTGCAATGGATGGCATTACTGCACAGTGCCACGCACTGAAGACGAGCTTTCCAGAGCAAGGAAATCAATCTTCCGCTGTGTGCAACAGGCAGCTTATGCAAGTGAGATCAAGGCCATCAACAAGGGAGAAGACCTTCCTAGGGTCAGCACCCTCAGGAAGCTAAACCCCGGGATGGACAAAGACGACTTGCTCAGGATCGGTGGTCGGCTAGGGAATGCAAAATTAGATGAGAATGAACGAAACCCCCTCATAATCCCAAGCCAGAGCCACATCGCAATCTTACTCGTGCGCCACTACCACGAGAAGGTCAAGCACCAAGGTCGGCACTTCACAGAAAGAGCAATCCGATCTGCAGGGCTGTGGATCGTTGGAGCAAAGAGGTGCATCGCCAACACAATCCACAAGTGTATCCGGTGTCGCAAGCTACGTGGAAAACAGAAAGAACAGAAAATGGCAGACCTCCCAGCCGATCGACTCAGTGTGGAACCTCCCTTCACCTCTGTAGGGATTGACGTGTTCGGACCGTGGACAGTCATCTCCCGCCGCACCAGAGGAGGGCTCGCGAACAACAAACGTTGGGCAGTGCTGTTCACCTGTATGAGTACACGAGCAGTGCACATCGAAGTAATCGAGTCCATGGACTCTTCGAGCTTTATAAATGCACTCCGGAGATTCTTCGCCATCAGAGGGCCAGCCAAGCAACTCCGTTCTGATTGTGGAACCAATTTCATAGGAGCATGTAAAGAGCTTAAGATCAATACGGAGAATGTCGAAGATGATTCTGTCAGGAAATACCTTAGTGACCAAGGCTGCACATGGATCTTCAATCCTCCCCACTCTTCGCACATGGGTGGAGCCTGGGAACGCATGATCGGGATTGCTCGACGCATTCTCGACTCCATGCTATGTGATGTCGGGTCCACACGGCTCTCTCACGAGGTCTTGACCACTCTCATGGCCGAGGTCTCAGCCATAATTAACTCAAGACCCCTGATCCCCATCTCAACCGACCCGGAGTCACCATTCATCTTGACTCCTGCTACACTTCTTACCCAGAAGACAGATATGCTCACAGCACCTACCGAGGAGGCCAGCACTGCAGACCTCTACAGACGTCAATGGAGACAAGTGCAGAGCTTCGCGAACACGTTCTGGCGTCGCTGGAAAAACGAGTACCTTACGACACTCCAAGTGCGCAACAAGTGGCAGTCTAATAGACCAGACATCCAAGAAGGCGACCTCGTCCTACTGAAAGACAACCAAGCCAAACGGAATGAGTGGCCAATGGGCCGCATCCTCAAGTCGATTCCAAGTGCCGATGGAAAAGTTCGAAAGGTCGAGGTTATGATTGCGAAGCAAGGTGTCAGCAAGAACTTTCATCAGGCCCATAGTCGAGATAGTACTTCTTCTCTCTCGCAAAGATATGGACAAATAAGTCGACCCGTTGAAGTTGTTATACACTTGTTTATGAGATAGGAAATAAATGGTGGTATCTCCTAGATACCAGACGGGGAGTGTCTTGCCTCACGGCAGATGGGGAGCGTACGTTCACAGGAAGTTCCTGTTTTTTGATGCTAATGTTGGTCACGTGACCAGGAAGTGACGATGTTAGATTTCCACTGTACCACGTAGGCGTCAGCCATTACACAGATAAGTCAAGATGGCGGCACGCATCGCATCTCAGTGAGACCACAGCCGCACTTGTCCATTGTGGGAGCTTAAGAAGCATTATCTGTAAGTTGTTTATATTCCTATAATATTGGAAATGCTGTTGTAATGTTGGAATGACCGTTATAGCAATGTAAATGCCTTTATGGTGCCGTTAAGTTGTTGTAGTAAATACGAGGCCTAGTTAGTAACGAAGCCTGTGACTTTCCTTATTGTGGATGTTACTTGTGATTTAGTAGGTCGAGTCAGAATTGTGCCTATGTTGCGATCCTGAGAGTGATGACGAAGTATCTCATCCACAGTTTAGTGTTAAGTGTAATGCTGTACATTTGGGGTGCAGTGGGATGAATACACTATGTCCCTGTATGCAACGCACCAGCTTGTGCCTTTGTCTAGTTGTTCAGGGGTAATGTGGGGGCCTGGTCCTTCCAGGATCTATTGTTATCTGAGACAATGTTCTGATGCTGTGGTGTTCATTGTGTGGGTGTTTCCAAATTATAACAGATGCTGTATCTGTGTTTTCTCACCAGTTTTACCTGTTACAATCAATAAATGACGATCGGAGTTGGACGGTCATCCTGGCTCCGAGGGTTTATTGAACACATGGTTATCTACTAGACTAGCGGTGCAACGCAGCGCACGGCGAGGCCGAGATATACGGATTAAAATTTTGATCGAAGTTATTTTAGACTGGCAGATTTGTCTCGGCCTCGCTGTGCGCTGCATTGCACCACTATCCGAGTAGATAACCTCGCATTCACTAAACCTTCAGAGCCAGGGTGAACATCCGACTCCAAAAGTATTTAATGAATTGAACGAGGTAAAACGGATGGAAAAACACAGCACAAATACAGCATCTGTTAATACTTAGAAATATCAATACAATTAATGAACACTACGGCATCATAACATTGTCTTAGATAACATGAAACTCAACAATAGATCCTGGATGGACCAGGCACCTACATTACCACTAAATAGCTATACAAGAGAATAAGCTACTGTGTTAAATAAGGGCACATCGTGTAATCACCATACTGCAGCGCAAAGGTACAGCACTACATATAACACTGCACTGTGAATGAGATATTTCGTCAACCTTGCTGTCAAGTTCGCAATAAGGTTACATGGGTACAAGCCTGTCTCGACTAATTCAATTACAAGTAACATCCACAATAATGTAAGTGGCAGGCTTCGTTGTTAACTAGGCCTCATTTATCATAACAATTTAACATCATTATAAAGACATTTACAGCATTATAACGGCCATTCTAACATAACAGCATTCCCAATATTATAAGAACATAAACGAACTTACAGACAATGCTTCTTAAAGTCCCACAATGAACAGTTGCACCTGCCTTCACTCAGACGCTATTTGTGCCACCGTTTTGTACTCTGTGTAATGGCCGATACCTTTCCACATGAGCTTAGAGGATGTCAAATCTTAACTTCCTGGTCACGTGACCAAATTCAACAGGAAATTCCTGTGCACACACACCTCCACACCTGCCGTGAGGCAGAACAAGATTCATCATACACACAACGGGATTATTCACCAATGACTCTCATGTTATGATATCATTTCACACGTTTTTAGAAATCACCTCACGTACGTACACTCCGTGGGACATTGCCACGTGTATCACCCAGGGGTCCACGTACCACCGGTTGAGAACCACTGCTGTAGGGTAGTGTAGAGTGTCGTGTATAGTGCAGCGTGCAGTGTGTGTATAGTATAGTGTATAGTGGTGTATTGTAGAGTAGAGCATAGTGTATAGTGCAGTGTACAGTGTAGTGTATAGTGTAGTTGTATAGTGCTGTATTGCAGAGTTTAGCATAGTGTATAGTGCAGTGTATAGTAGTGTAGAGAGTAGTGTATAATGTAATGTATAGTATAGTGTATAGTCTATAGTAGTGTATAGCGTAGTGTATAGTGTAGTATACAATGACTTTCATGTATAGTATAATTTCACACATTTATAAATCACGTCATGTGTACTCCCCAGTGGTCCCGAGGTTGAGAACCACCACTGCTGTAGTCGATACGGAACACGCAGGGAGCGTGTCTCTAGCGCTGCATCGGTCTTTTGGGTTCGCTCTTCCACCAAGCTGCTTATGGATGATACCCTGATGCACAAATGGAACATTAAAAACCTCTCGGGCAGTAGTGGTGCAACTGTTGTCATCCAGAACGAGAGATTGTAGTACGAGGTGTAGCGACGCAATGCCCCGATCCACAAATATGAAGCAGGAGTCATAACAGCGATGACGATTCACTACTCCGCTACTCCTGATCATGGTTGTCTGCTGCCTCGACCACCTGAATATGACATTATAGTTGTTGTCTCTGCCATCTACATCAGCCATATGACAAGAAGAAGAGACTCATAGAGACCCACAGAGACTCAGAGACCTATAGAGACTCATAGACCCATAGAGACTTAGAGACCCATATAGCCTCACAGAGACTCAGTGACCCATACAGATTCAAAGAGATTCAGAGCTGCATAGAGACCTACAGAGACCCATAGAGACTGAGAGACCCATATAGCCTCACAGAGACTCAGTGACCCATACAGATTCAAAGAGACTCAGAGCTGCATAGAGACCTACAGAGACTCAGAGACCCATAGCGACGGAGAGACTCAAATACCCATAGAGACTCACATAAACTCAGAGACCCATAGAGACTCAGAGACCTATAGAGACTCACAGAGACAAAGAGACCATAGAAACTCAGAGACTCAGAGACCCATAGAGACTCAGATACCCATAGCGACGGAGAGACTCAGATACCCATTGAGACTCACAGAGACTCAGAGACCCAAGACTCATATAGACTCACAGACCCATAGAGACTCACAGAGACTCAAGACCCAGAGCCTCATGTAGACCCAGGTACAGAGAGAACCAAAGAGACCAATAGACACGCATAGACCCATAGACTAATAGAGACATCACAGCAATACACTCCCCTTGCTCCTGATGACGGTTATTTGCTGGCTTGACCACCTGAATGCGAAATTGTCATCGTAATCTCTGAAATCGACAACAGCAGCCGTCTGGTAGAAGATATGTTGCCACCCTGTGGCAAATGTCGAGACGCACCCACTCACTCTACGGTCACTAAGTCTCACAATGTACTGTATATTTCAGTGCTTCACCTGTGTTACCACTGTACGTCGTATGTCAACAGTGACACAAAACTACAACTCACCTGGCCGCATTCCACGGTGACCATTTCCGCCAAGTAACATCCGTATATCGGCAGGCCAACAACGTGAATCGTTACTTGACGTGAAATTTTATTATAACAGGCGCTTTCTGAAGACCCACGCACTATCACCGCCTACGATGTTCGCCAAAGAGTGGTGAGAGAGACAGACTCAAACACTCGTTCATACTCACCGACATACAGTCACCAATCTAACACACAGACATCCATACTCAAAAACCACACTTCTTACACAGACGCTCTCAACCCCACACACACTCACCTACTCACTCACCCACTGTGAAATACACACACTCACTCACTCGCCCACTCTCAAATACACACACTCCCCTACTCACTCAACAACTCTCAAATACACACACTCACCCACTCACTCACCCACCCCCAAATACACACACTCACCCACTCACTCACCCACCCCCAAATACTCACCCACTTTAAAATACAGACACCAACTCACTCATATACCCCCAAATACACACACTCACCCACTCACTCACCCACCCCTAAATACACACACTCACCCACACACTCATCCACCCTCACATACACGCACTCACCCACCCCCAAATACACACAATCACCCACTTACTCACCCACTTTAAAATACAGCCCCCCACTCACTCAACTACCCCAAATACACACACTCACTCACCCACTCACCCACCCCCAAATACACACACTCACCCACTCACTCATCTACCCCAAATACACACACTCACTCACCCACCCCCAAATACACACACTCACCCGCTCACTCACCTACCCTCACATACACACACTCACCCACTCAATCTCTCACTCAAACAAACACGCACTGAATCCTACACACGCTCAAACACACACACACCGATCCACCCTCGTCCAGACCGAATCTCACGCACACACATTCATACTCACCCACACTCAATCACACCAGCACACACACAACACCCTCACCCACCCAGTCTCACACAGACACTCAACATCTCACACACTGAAACACACCCCACTCACGCAAATCCACACACACCGATCCGCTCTCTCATCATCCACACTGAACCTGTCTTACGTACTCGCACAGACGGTCAACACCGAGAGACGTGACGAGGAGCAGGAGAACGTCATGACCCCGTGGACAGCGATGCCTCTTCTGCTTCTACTTCTGGTGAGGGCCACCGCTCTTAACGGGCGCCACGGTGGCTAGGAGATGTTAACTACCTCCCCTGGTTTACAGGAGGTTTTGGTTTCGAACCCGACCTTGACGGTGCCTGCTGCTGTATATTTGGAGTTTGCGTGTCTCTCTCTCAATATCATCACGGTTGCTAGGAGATGTGAACTACCTCGCCTTGTATACAGGAGGCCGTGGATTTGATCACGACCCTCACTACACCTTCTGTCGTATATTTGGAGTTTGTGTCTCTCTCCACCCGGGTGGTCGACTGGAATTTTCTCCAGGTTATCTGGGTTTTCCTCTGCACATTTAGAATAAATAATCACACGTTTCGAGTATGTGGCTGCTGCTATACATTTGCACTTGATGATGATATCAGCCACTTAACCTAGCCACCGTAACTAAAGTATATGACATGGCTGTGGAGACCGATGCGTGGGTGCCAATCTATCTGTCCCACATTGGTTGCCCTTGCCGCTTGACTGTCTGAAGGCGTCTGCCTGTTTTAGACTTAAATTGTTTACAACGTTTACATAAACTGCGGTTAGATTGTTGTCCTTCCACCCAACCTCCGATTATTATGGTTTGCTACATACGATGCGAAAGACGTTCAATATGTATATATAGATATAAAGCACGTATATAATAAACAAAACACTATGGTACTACAGTAACCCATGCCTTGTTATACACTCGAATAATTTGTTCGATAGAGCTATGCACCCACGACGGCAGCTTGGTGTGTCAAGATTGCTACATGTTGCCTCCGGGCAGACCAGAGAACCACACTGGCGCGTGTTGCCTTGTGTAGACGAGTGACAATGTGGCTTGGATATACAGCACACTCTCAATTATCCGCTGTGCAGTTGACCTGATCTGCCACTTAACCACAAACCTGAGATTTTGACGTGAATTAATAATTCATGGGGTTTTCCCTTAAAGCTTAATACAGGGTTAGATCGCGTAAATATATAAATGTGTCGTTAAACCTGCCACCACCCGACACAGCCAACTAGTAAGGTTAGTCACGTAAACAGAACATGCCAATTCGTTACTAGTACGACACCACTCGTGTGTTGGAGAGCAAACCCAAAACATTTACAAACTCAGTACTCTTTCTAGAGTGATGTACAATGGCAGACTTTTCAGTAGACTTATCAGTATAGTAGCCTGGCTCTTTCTAAAGTGATGAACAATGTTTTCTCTTTCTCTTCTCATACAAGAAATATTGGTTAAGAAACGAAGGGAGGGGGGCATTGTTGAACAGTCCATTCATCCGAAACAGCACCAGCAAGGGGTGTCGTAAGGACTGCAGATGGAAATATATTTTTTCTCTTGAAAAACCACCACGTATATCAAGTTCAAGTTCATTTATTAGGTACTAGCAGAAGTACCCGGCGTTTCCCGGGTGAAAAATATATTTCTTAATAACCTTACAAATATACACAGATACTAAGGTATTGTCAAAGCCCGGTGGGCTTTGACAATACCTTTCACCACTCACAACTCACCCTCACCACTCATCCTCACCACTCACCACTCCCACTCACTACTCACCATTCACCCTCACAACTCACCAATCTCCCTCACCAATCTCCCTCACCACTCACCCTCACCACTCACCGTCACCACTCACCAATCACCAAACACCCTCACCACTAACCCTCACCACTCACTCTCACCATTGACCCTGACCATTCAGCCTCACCACTCACCACTCACTCTCACCATTCACCCTGACCATTCAGCCTCACCACTCACCCTCACCACTCACCCTCTGCCTCACCACTCACGCTTACCACTCACCCTCACCACCACCACTCACCCTCACCACTCACGCTCACCACTCACTCTCTCCCTCTCCACTCACCCTCACTACACACTAATCACCCTCACCACTCACCCTCACTACTCACTAATCACCCTCACCACTTACCATTCATCCTCACTACTTACTACTCACCTTCACCACTCACCTTCACCACTGCCCCTCACCACTCACCCTCACCACTCATCCCCACCACTCACCCCTAACCACTCACCCTCACTACTCACCATCACCACTTACCCTAACCACTCACCATTCACAACTCACCCTCACCACTCACCCTCACCACTCATCCTCACCACTCACCATCACCATAAACCCTAACCACTCACCCTCACCCTCACCACTCACCCTCACGACTCACCCTTACTACTCACCACTCAACGTCACCACTCTTCGTCACCACTCACCCATCACCATCACCACTCACTATCACCACTCACCCTCACTACTCACCCTCACTACTCACCATCACCACTCACCCTCACCACTCACCCTCACCACCACCAATCACCCCTCACCACTAACCCTCACCACTCACCCTCACCAATCACCCTCACCACTAACCCTGACCCCTCCCTCACCACTGACCACTCACCCTCCCCACTCACCCTTCCTACTCACCACTCAACCTCACCACTAACCCTCACCCCTGACCACTCACCCTCCCCACTCACCACTCACCCTTCCTACTCACCACTCAACCTCACCACTGACCACTCACCACTCACCCTTACCCTCACCACTCACTCTCACCACTCACCCTTACTATTCACCACACACCCTCACCACTCACCCTCAACATCAACACTTGCCCTCACCACTCACCATCATCACAAATCCTAACCACTCACCCTCACCACTCACCCTCACCACTCACTCTCACCACACCCTCAGCACTCACCCTCCCCACTCATCCTCACCACTTAACCTCACCACTCAACCTCACCCCTCTCCCTCGCCACTCTCCCTCACCACTCACCGTCACCACTCACCCTCACCACTCACCGTCACCACTCACCAATCACCAAACACCCTCACCACTAACCCTCAGCACTCACTCTCACCATTGACCCTGACCATTCAGCCTCACCACTCACCACTCACTCTCACCATTCACCCTGACCATTCAGCCTCACCACTCACCCTCACCACTCACCCTCTGCCTCACCACTCACGCTTACCACTCACCCTCACCACCACCACTCACCCTCACCACTCACGCTCACCACTCACTCTCTCCCTCTCCACTCACCCTCACTACACACTAATCACCCTCACCACTTACCATTCATCCTCACTACTTACTACTCACCTTCACCACTCACCTTCACCACTGGCCCTCACCACTCACCCTCACCACTCATCCCCACCACTCACCCCTAACCACTCACCCTCACTACTCACCATCACCACTTACCCTCACCACTCACCATTCACCACTCACCCTCATCACTCACCCTCACCACTCATCCTCACCACTCACCATCACCATAAACCCTAACCACTCACCCTCACTACTCACCATCACCACTTACCCTCACCACTCACCATTCACCACTCACCCTCACCACTCACCCTCACCACTCATCCCCACCACTCACCCCTAACCACTCACCCTCACTACTCACCATCACCACTTACCCTCACCACTCACCATTCACCACTCACCCTCACCACTCACCCTCACCACTCATCCTCACCACTCACCATCACCATAAACCCTAACCACTCACCCTCACCCTCACCACTCACCCTCACGACTCACCCTTACTACTCACCACTCAACGTCACCACTCTTCGTCACCACTCACCCATCACCATCACCACTCACTATCACCACTCACCCTCACCACTCACCCTCACCACCACCAATCACCCCTCACCACTAACCCTCACCACTCACCCTCACCACTCACCCTCACCACTAACCCTGACCCCTCCCTCACCACTGACCACTCACCCTCCCCACTCACCCTTCCTACTCACCACTCAACCTCACCACTAACCCTCACCCCTGACCACTCACCCTCCCCACTCACCACTCACCCTTCCTACTCACCACTCAACCTCACCACTGACCACTCACCACTCACCCTTACCCTCACCACTCACTCTCACCACTCACCCTTACTATTCACCACACACCCTCACCACTCACCCTCAACATCAACACTTGCCCTCACCACTCACCATCATCACAAATCCTAACCACTCACCCTCACCACTCACCCTCACCACTCACTCTCACCACACCCTCAGCACTCACCCTCCCCACTAACCCTCACCACTTAACCTCACCACTCAACCTCACCCCTCTCCCTCGCCACTCTCCCTCACCACTCACCGTCACCACTCACCCTCACCACTCACCCCTCACCATCACCACTCACCCTCACCACTCACCCCTCACCATCACCACTAACCCTGATCCCTCACCACTGACCACTCACCACTCACCCTCACCACTAACCCTCACCATCACCACTCACCCTTACTACTCACCACTCAACCTCACCACTCATCCTCACCACTCACCCCTCACCCTCACCACTCACCCTAACCACTCACCCTCACCCCTCACCATCACCACTCACCCTCACAACTCACCACTCACTCTCACCATTCACCGTCATAACCACCACTCACCCTCACCACTCAACCTCACCCTCACTACTCACCATTCATCCTGACCAATCACCACTGACCAATCACCACTCACCACTCTCCACTAACCCTCACCACTCAACCTCACCACTCACTTCTCACCACCCACCCTCACCACTAACCCTGACCCCTCACTCACCACTGACCACTCACCCTCCCCACTCACCCTTCCTACTCACCACTCAACCTCACCACTCACCCTCACCACCCACCACTCACCCTCACCACTCACCCTTCCTACTCACCACTCAACCTCACCACTGACCACTCACCACTCACCCTTACCCTCACCACTCACTCTCACCACTCACCCTTACTATTCACCACACACCCTCACCACTCACCCTCAACATCAACACTTGCCCTCACCACTCACCATCATCACAAATCCTAACCACTCACCCTCACCACTCACTCTCACCACACCCTCAGCACTCACCCTCTCCACTCACCCTCACCACTTAACCTCACCACTCAACCTCACCCCTCTCCCTCACCA